CCCCCCCCCCCCCAGCTTCCTACCTGGGACACTGCAGGCATGTGGCTACACTTCCAGTATCAAAAGTTTGTCTGTTCACTTGCTTATCAGTTCAGTCACAGGTTTAGTCTAAATTGCACGGAAGACTGAATCAATTTAGCCTCGGGCTTTTAGACTGTCCGTACTTAGTGCTGAACCAGGAACAGCATCTTATCAATTTTAGCTTTTCTATGTTCCCAGCACATAAGGGACAGTGTCATTTCTCATATGGGTGCTGACTTTCCACAAGGCTGTTCTCCACCCCCTCTCTGCCTTTCATATTGTGTTTTTTGTTTGTTTGTTTTTTGTTTTTTTTACTGTGGCCACTCTAATGTTGAATTTACAAGTCCTGTATGTGAATGGATTACTAGGTGTATGCAGAAGAACTGCTAGAATAAGTTGTTACTATTTTTTCCTTTGTGTTTACCTACAACACTAAGATGTATGGAAATACAAAAACTTTCAGTGGCCTTCTGGTGTACAACTAGGACCAGATACAACATGTCTTTATACAGCTTTCCTAAACAAGATAGCAATTCTGAAAATGAGTTATTTTTGAAATTTGTTCCTTTGGTCCATAGCAGAAGTTGTATAAAAGCATGTGAATTTTACATTTCTTCCCATTAGAAATGGCCAGTTACACTCTAATTTATCACGGTAACAATGAATTCAAATGCTAGAGATTATCCCTCACTGAAGTATTAATCTGATTTACCTTCATCTCAAAGCAGACTTTGCCTTTGGAAACTCCATAGGAGGCTCTTCCTCCAGCCCAGAGAAAGGCAAAACTTTCCATCGTCAGAGAAGAAGCGCTAAAACGGTCTCTTGAGATTTTAAAATGCAGGTCACAGTTATCTGGCAATATAATAAAAGTTGCAATTTATTTGTTTTCAATACTTGTCTAAATTTTGCAGACTAGCTCATAGCCAAGATGAAGTGTGGGCGACCAAGCTTGGCATTTAAGTATATTTGTTTTGCAAAGGTGCCATGCACCAACAGTTCCATTAGTCAAAGGGTTTTTTGCCATGCCCAGCACCTTTAAAATTAAACCAAATTAACGTGCTCATATATGGATTTAGTGTAGCCTTAGGAATGTTAGAAAAATTTTGCCATGCAGCTTAAAGCTACAATTTTTCAGAATTTTCTCAGTAATCTCTCCAACCCAAATACTTGTTTGGAAGTTGTTCTGCAACAGGCATGACTAACACGACCCTCTTGCTCTTGGGTTTGGACACCTCTCCAAACTACTTCCATTGAGCCAATTACTCCATTTAAGTACCGGCAGCACCTCAGTGCAGGATCTCAGGTAACTGACTAAGCAGGATGCCCCAAAGGAGCCTAAATTTCCCCATTTTTTCATAAAGAAAGCTACTAAATATGGTCAATATACTACTTACGGACATTATGAGGTATTCTTCTGATTTTTTGTTACAACATGACAACAAACATGTTAGCAGACCATTAGAAAGCAAGCATCAGTGTTTAAGGTTAAGGGTATTACTAGTTTGATACTTGCTTGAAATAGGCTGCATTATAAAGGTCAGATTAAAAATTCATGCCATTTAAGAGAGATTTCCCCCAAATCAGAGGTAGGCTAGTGAGGCAAGATATCATACTACAAGTGGGGAGAGGGGAAAGGAGGAGCCAAGAGGATCCAGTACCAAAATTTCCCTGTCCGCTAAAAAGCATATAGAATACAACTGGAACTTTTGCACTGGAGAAGCATTTCCAAAACTGAAGCCTGTATTATAACAGAAGCCCCCAGAGAATTAACTTGCAGACACTTTATGAATTAAAAGGTTCAAGACAGAACAGTTGTTTCCAAAGTGAGTGGCTATTCCTGGCAAATAAGCCCGGGATGCATAAATGGTAAGCAAAAATACCTCTGCTGCCCAACTACCAAGTCTTGCCTTTTCAGTTTGTATTTCATTGTACTTGGATTGGAGCAGCATACATTTGACAGAGATCACTTTAAACAAAAAAGGGAAATGTACTGCTTTACACAAGTTACATATTTCTGGTCATACAGAACTCCACAATTTTGGAACTAAGCTTTATTCCAATGGAACCATCATCCTTGTCTTCCTCCCAAGATCTGCAACCCCAACTCTTTTCCTCCATGGTCATCAAAGAACAAAACATTGGTAGCTGGCCTCCTCCCCTCTCCATGCATTACTGCAACAGAAAACTAACTGCTGAAAGACAAGAGAGAAGCTGCTTACATGCACTATTTTCAGTGTAGGTTTTAATCTGTTCTTTTACAAAAACAATTAAGCAAGAGCGCTTTAAAGTTAGAATTCCTGCACCATCCTGAGAAGCATACAACCAGGAACAATGATGCCCAGAAGAGCTCATCTTGATTAAAGCAATAATGGTTAATGTAATAACAGGGTAATTTTAAAACTAGTTGGGTTTATTTGTTGGGGGGGAGGGGAGGGGCATAGAGGCACACCAATGTTCATACCAAACCAAAACCTACCTGCTCAAGAGTGACAATGTTTTGATGCTACTGTGTGTTCAACTGCCCCCTCCTTCCCCTCAAACTATAGACCTCTAGTGCAATATATACCAGACATAATAAAGCTTTAAGTATTTATCAAGCTGTTTTGAACAGAAGACAGCTGCTGACAATCATTAAGAATAACTTGACAGCTTAATAGTTAAGCAAATATCAGCTGTTTGTAGCTGGGTAGTTTTCAAGTTGAAGTTTCATATACTACTATATATATGCAGACAAGTTCTTTGGGTAAACCAACTCAAATAGTTGGAAAAAATTCTTCTTAGCAAGCTTTTGACCACAAACACTCTTCCTTCATCAGGCTGATGAAGCATCTGCAGTTGGTCTGTGCTACCCCTGAAACATACTATATATTGTACTCTCAGGTATTATAAATGCAAATTTAACCCATTTAAGAGCAGCTTGAAGTGGAGAAACCACCACATATACAAATGCTGTAAAAAATGCAGAGTAAGTAAACCAAATTATGAAGTCTCTTTTTAATCACTCCTTACTATTGGCAAGTATTAAAAGCATGTGACTTAGTGAAATAAAGGCTATTCATTTGCAGCCATTAAATTGCAACAAGTAAGTTTTAACTGACAAGGTAGTTTAGCTACCATATTCAAGTTCTAGACATTTCAGCTATTACAAGAAATGTCTAATTGTCCACTTGTAGTTTCTTCGTTACACCACTGGATGCTATCAACTGGTCACATTTTCCAAGGAGTTATAAAAAGTTGTCCTCAATAGCACACTAAGGACTTGATTCTCTGTATTAGTCACTTACCCATATGCACACTAGCGTAAGTTTGTTTCAGGTCATAAAGCAAGTGAAACATTTCAGCATTAACATTATAGCTAGCTCAAGAAATGAAGCATTTTCCTTAATTCTAGTTAAGGCTTGTCAATGTTGCACAAAAATCTGCATGCAAATACAAAAACTATATTCTATGGACTAACATGCTTCCCACTTTCATGATTGCCAATGCTTTACAAAGTAACAGCCCACTGCTTATAAGCCAATGGTCTGTTTTTAATTTTGCAGTTGAATGAGCCCTTAGTTTCTCTCACATATATCATTTTACTACTTGCACTTACAGCTTTGGAAGTGTAAGAAGTTTTCCCTTCCTGCAAGTGAGCAAAGTTGTAAGACCCTGTGCAAAAGACTGCAAAACTAAGTTCTCAAACTTACCAAGAAAAACTTGGTTGGCTTGCCTACGGTTTTCTGCTTTCATTAAACACCTATTTTCTCCATTATTTTGGCAGCTGATTAGTATTATGGGCTAGTTCTACTATACCCTTTTAAATACAAAATTGAAACACTGCCTTTCACTCCAAGTATCTACAGCAAAATTGGAGGAGTTTGTATTATTGTCCTTCCTTTAAAGTTTGTCCGTCTCTCCCTGACTCCCCCGACCCCCATTAGGTTTATCTTACTTTTTGCATCATAAAAGCAAGAAAAGGGACATTAAAATTCCACGTAAAGCATTTTAAATGGGGACAGAACCAACTACAATGAAGGTAGCTAGTTTAAAACTAGAAATATACCCCAATACCTACATTGCTAGAAAGTAAGAAAGAGTAGCTTTACTTACAAGTATCAAGACAAACCATTGTATCATCAAACTGCTCATCTTCCTCTTCAACAGGAGGTTGAGGAGATTTGGCCCTGAAAACAAAACACAATAAATAAAATGCAACTAAAGTTCTTTAACAAAGACTGAATATGTCATCTTAAACATCACTTCAAACAGATGCCGAAGTGCAGCATAACATTAGCTCCTCTACCTGCTGTACTTGTTTTCTTCAATGTACTCAAAATATCCACGACCATGGTCTTCACGTGGTCTCTTCACACCCCTCTTCTTCTCACCAACTTTTTGTTCTGGTTTAGCATCTCCTGCTAAGAGAAATTTCAAGCAATTGTTACATTTTCTTGATTAAAAGGGGCAGGCAGGGGTCCCATCACTTAAAAAATTTAAATTCCCCTTAGCATCCAATTCCAGACTTAAGAAACAGAGAAGTTCCTTAAGCAGCTAGAAAACATTGAGCCTGCCTACAAAGCTCTTGCTGGAGACTGGGGGGGGCAGGACACCCATGTTTTAAAAACAAAAAACTGCAGGAAAAACCATCTAAATGTGAAGAAAGCAGTGGGCGGTTATTTGCTTAACGGGTGGTGAGCTGTAACAAAGACAATGCCGCACCAAAGCAAGCCTGCCAGGCTTGCAGGGGCTCTGAATGCTTAGGAAAAATAAAGAAAAAGCACGAAAAGAAATAGAAAGGAAAAAAAAAAAAAAAGAGAGAGGAGAGGCTGATACCCGGGCCGCGGGGCCCAGCGCTGCCAGCGGGGAGGGGGATTCCACCCCCTCCCTCCTCCATTGTACGAAGCCTTCCAAACGCGAGCCCGTGCAGCGCCCAGCCCGGAAGTGACGTCACGCCCGCCCAGAGCCTCGCTTGCACAATATAGCGCGCCCCAGCGGCCCCTCCGGAACCGCCCCTCCCCCCGCGGGGC